GTTGGCTTAACAAGAAAATAGGAAAAGCCTGTTCATTCACTTCAGAAATACCTTAGTCTACACCAGGAGCCAGCAAACTTGTTCTATAAAAATAGTAAATATTTTCAGCTCTTTAGGCCATACGGTCTCTATTGCAACTGCTCAACTCTGCCACTGTGGTGTAAAAGCAGCCACAGACAACGCACAAATGAATAAATGTGGCCCTCTGCCAATAAAACTTTATTTATAACACAGGCTCCAGGCAGCATCTGGTCCACAGGCCATAATATGCTGACACCTGGTCTACATATACCAGAGAATGGGTGCTCTGGCTGTGTGTGAGTACTCAAATTCCTACAAATACATTAGTGAAAACAACCCTTGCTCCAGCTTTCATCCTACTGCATTTGATAAAAGCATGGGGGACTGCAGGGTAGGTAAGAAAAATCCCCAGGCCTGGAGTGAGGCACACATTGGCATTTGACCTTGGAAATGGGCAGGATGGCAGGGAGGGGCAGAGCTCATAGCCATCTGACGGGGCAGCCCCCACTTGGCTCGGGTGATCGAGGCAGCTAGGCCAGCACCCACCCCCAGTGCTGTCTGACCTTGGGGAGAAGCCGGCAATCCCTGCTGTCCTTGAACTGTCTCGACTGTTGATACACTGCCCCAGGCCAACAAAGGACTTCTGGGAAATGTCCCAGTTTTTAAAACAAGGTGTGGGCCCAGCAAAATAAGTCCTAGCCCATCTATTTGTGTTATGTGCATACCCTGTACCCAGAGAAGGTGAAGAGGGGCAATCATCTCTTCGCCATATTCAATCAAAGGTATACCAAAGGCCATTTTGTACAAATCGGCTAGCAGATTATTTCTCAATCCTTTAATAATGGAAAAAACAAAAACACCTCCCTACAAGGACATTTTGAACTCAAATGTCCCAAGAACTAAAGATTAGAGTGGTATGTATCGGTAAAGGCTCTAATGTCACTTTGGGCAAGATATTCCTTGCCTCATCTATTTCAGGACATTTAGCAACCGGACCCTTCTCCACA